GGCACAAGACATCCTGGAAATGCGTGAGGTCTGAAGCCCAGTGTTAGGAAATAGGTCTGAGCTGGGCAGTGGTCTACAGCGTATGCTTATCTGCTCAGTTTTTTTACCATAAAAATTTTTTTTCTGCTTTTTAAAAAGGGGGTGCACCCCAAAGAAGACTGAAAATCTTTTCTTCAAAAGCAAAATTTATGGTTTCTAAATACAGAGAAAAAAAAGAGCAGAGTGAGAAACAATTCACTAGAACACACTCAGACAAAAAGATTTCTAAAATTCTCACAAAAACATGGTCAAGTTCCTTTACACCTCTGGTCTCAAAGAAATTTGGAAAACAACGCAATGCACTCCTTTAAAGTCCATCTGTCTGTTATAAAGCACAGTTGGGATTAGATGGGAGGAGATATTACATTATGGACAAATAAAATACCAAAGGTCAAGCAAATACCAACTTTACAAATACCATGACTTTCCCAAGCAAATTTAAAATATTCAAGGCTAAGCTTTTCCCTTCCCCAATTCCATTTCCCCTTATGCTGTTCACTTCATGCCCAGAAGAATGTGCATCTTCCACATGTGAGTCCCACAGGAATGGACCACACACTAAGCGGGCAACGCCTACATTTGCACAACAGGTTTTCATCACTTCTGCTATAGATCCGCCGGGTTCCTTCTCCAGGAGTCGCCCCTGAAAACTGCCGGTTACCTGATTACAACTATCAACCTTATAATGCCTTGGAGTCATCAAACTGTGTATAAAAGTGTGCTTCCACAAGACCAGAATGAAAGGGAGTCTCATCCAAGCCAGGTGTCCTGGGATCCAACGCAGACATTCCCAGTCCTGAGGGGATGCTGTGGCCTGAGGGGCCCCGTCTCTGTGCTCCCCAAGCACGGCACCCACAGACCCAGAGGGTTTTAGTGGCTCTTGGCCTCACACAGACACTCAGAGGCGGTCACCGATTTACAAACTGGGCAATCAGCATTACAATCACCACTACAGCCACCTTGGCCATTTCACAATCAATGGCTCGCTTCCCAACTGCCAATGACCTCTGCCAATGGCCTTAACATCTTTTCTTTCTTTCCTTTCAAGGTCATTTTGCACTTACCTTAAAACCCTGACACTTAGTGACCAATTAGAGATTGGGGATTCCCCCTCTCTTATGTGCATTTTTGATTACAGCTTTACTTTTTATCCAGTATTTCAAGAGCACACAATGGAGCAAAGAGTAACACTGATATAACACACGCCCATGTACGAGGTACCAACTGTGTGGTGTGAAATTAACGTTTTGCCATATTTACTTCAGCTCTTTTCCCAGAGGTTTGCTAAAGTTGACAGCCACTCATGTATTACCCCTCGCACTTCAGAAGGCTTCTTCCTCCTCCTCTCCCCGGAGACAGCCACTCCCCTGGTGTTTAACAAGCCCATGCATTCCAGACATTTTACACACTCAGTATTAATAATGGATATGCGTACTGTATTGCATTGCATGCTTGTAAACATTATACAAATGGCGCCTCAGTATACAAATCATTCTGCAACTTGCTTTTTTACTCAGCATTGCATTCATTTTCATTGCCATTTAGAATTTCATCATATGAATATACCACAACTTATTTATCCAGTCCCCTACTGGCGGACAGTTAGGTAGCTCCCATTTTTTTCCTCTTACAAACAATGCTATAGGAAGGCTCGTCCACGTCTTCTTGGGTGCACCTTGGAGAGTTTGGAAGGAATGACCCTAGACGTGGGCTGCAGAGTATGCACATCTTCACCTTGTCAGACTGCTCTCCAAAGTGATTGTACCAACTTATACTTTGTCCAGGCGAGTATGAAAGATTCCTTTGTTCCACATCCTCTCAAATACTTGGTATTATGAGGTTTTTAAGTTTTTGTCAATCTGATGGATATGAAAGAGAAACTTGTAGTTTTTAATCTGCATGTCATGTAAGGATAATCATGTCCTCATAAATGCTTATTGACTATATATGGATCATTTATTTTAAGATTTTCAACCCTGACATTCTTTTATCCTATCATCACCTTCACAGTGATTAACAGTAGTGATTCTGTGTCCAGGCAGCTGGGCTCACGTCCTGGCTCCATGACATCCGCCCTGTGTCCTTGGACACTTGGCTCCGCCTCCATAAGCCTCACCTTTCTCACCTGTAAAGAGGCAGCAGCACCTACCTTACACCATTGTAAGCCTTATGACCAAATATGCATAAAGTATCAGAACAGGATCAGCCATGTTATAAAGTAAATTTTTATCATTTTGGAGAATAACCTTGCCAAAGCTATCTTTAAAAACTGAATGCTTTTTAATATTTTAACTTATATTTTCTGACATTTTAGGGATTACCCAGAAGTTTTAGCATTCGTGACTTTAATCCAGTATTCCTCTTTTTCAGTATTACTTTAAAGTACCCCACCGCTGGTCTCTTTCAGCCCGATCCTGGCTTTTATGATAGTGCACAGGAAAGCCTGGCCTTGTGGAATGAGTAAGGAGTGCACTCTTGCCCAAACTGGGGGAGAGGGGATACTTTTCCCCTAGCTGTCAGACAGATTCCCACGGCACACCCAGCACGCCTCTGATGCAAAAGCTTCAAAGCTTGTCAACCAAAACTGAGCTACAAGCCCTCCCCAGGGCCCGGGTCCTCTCATATGGATGACACAGCTCAGTTACTGGCAACATGTTCTTAAGTAGTATTGTCTTCGCTTGATTAGGAGTTACACTCACTGTAACTTACATGCTATGTTTCGAGATTCTGAAAACATCCCTTTCCTTACTTAGCAAACTGCATAAACAATGTGTGAGAAGGCAGGAAACACCAGCGATACCAGTGTGGCAGAGCTTCGCACATCAAATAGGTATCCAATGCGTATGGGTCTTTGCCTAATAAAGAACGAAGGGCTCTAGTGTTACTGACCTGCCTCTAGTGAAAACAGACGGTGTTCAACCACACATGGGACCACCAGGGTAGAACATGTATCCTGCTCTTGGTCCTCACCTCACCAGGCTACCTGGCTTCTGTGTCTCTGCTTTCATCCTCCTCCTGCTGCCACAAGGTTTTAGGTGGCTCCTCCCCAGGTGTCTGGCATTTGGCACGTAAGAAAGAACAGAACCATCCCAGTTTGCCTCTCTGCTCTCAGAGCTGGAGAATGGGTCCTTCTGGCTGGCAAGGTTCTAGATAGGTGCCTCAATTCTCACAAGAGGCTGGCAAATTGGTGAACCTGTTCATCTCATCCTAAGACAGATTCCCCTTCAAACAGCCCAGATGATCCGCAATTCTGGACCCAGCCAGAGGCAGTAACCTAAAGACAGCTGCAGCTCATTTTTGTCAGACTCAGCTGAGGATGGTGGTCCTGAGGGAAGACTTTATCCAGCCCACCTACTCCTCTCATCTACACAGCCTCAGATTATCCATGGCCAAAGCCAGCTGAAAGCTGCATAATATTAGTACAATGAGATTCTCCAAGGTGGTGGGATTACTGGTGATTTTTATTTTCTTCTTTTTAAGCTCTGGTATTTTTCAAATTTTCTACCAAGATGTGTCCTGTTTATAATATTAAAACACAGTGAATATTATTTTTAAAAGCTACAAACTAGCCTGGGGTGGTGCCGCATGCCTCTAATCCCAGCACTCGGGAGGCTGAGGCAGGAGGATTGTTTTGAGTTCGAGGCCAGCCTGGGCTACAAAGTGAGCTCAAGGCCAGCCTGAACTGTATAGAGAGACCCTGCCTCAAAAAGACAATAAATAAATGAATAATAAAAAATAAAAGCTACAAACTTAAAATATACCACCTTCTCCAGTGCTTTCACTGAAAAACAAGAAAAACTCAGTTTTTGTGTTTTCACAAAAGACTTATTTGTGAAACCCCAAACTGCATTTTCAAAGAGATTTTTCCAATGAATGGCAATGTTGGTGGGATTTTTCTCTCCTTTATCCATTAACATTATAAGTAAGCCATGTAAGAAATTTCTTTCATAGCGAACACTTTCACCCACACAACTGGGAAAACATTTTCACCCAAACAACTGGTGTTCTGCTTCTTTGTGAACAGTGAGAATTAAGGAACTTGCCAAGTTTTCCTTTCTATTCTGGGCAATAGAAGGTCAGAGGAAATCACGAATTGTACCTAATATCCATCCAGAACTGTATGTCTATGCAGCCAGGTTCTGAGGATGTCAGGGTCTAACTTGGTCTGTGGTTTGCTATACTGTGAACGTTCTTTTACTCTGTGGCTGTATTCTGGAATCCACCCTACTCTTCACTGTTAAATATAACAGTCTTACTACCTAATATTAACTCCTATAATCTGTGTCATAAAATTTTAAAACAGAAAGGCAATAAAATCATGGTATAGTCTTTCTTAACCTTTCTAAACTAGTAAATAAGAATTCAGTTTAAATTCAATATATGTAACCAAGAACTGGTTAAATTCTACATTTATAGTAATACCATTTAACTTATGAAGGATATTAGTATGGGTGTGGGGTGGGCTATACTGGGGATGGCGTTTAGGGCCTTGTGCATGCCAGGCAAGCGCTCTATGACTGAACTACAACCCCCCCCACCATACTTATTTTTTCATACCAAGAAAAATACAGCAAAAATGATTCTTCCACGACTATACAGATAAATAGAGCACAAGAATGTAAAAGTGATACAAGCACAGACTGATATCATCAGATGAGAACTAGGTTCACATCTTGGCATCACTACTTACTAGTGGTCCACAGGTACCATGTGGAGAATAACATAACCACCTTATTAGGACTTCTGTGAGACATACATGAAATACTAAAAACAATGTAGGACATGATTACACTCATTCAGCTGCTGCTGTCACAGGTATCATCTGTAACATCTATAGTGCTCATTTATTTGTGCCAAAGAACCATTCATGGATTTTCTTACATACCTGTAAACAGAAGTGTTTCCCCAAAATGGGTATTTAGCACAATAACTCAGTGACTGCGGTACTTTAACCAACTTACCTTATCTGTCCAGTACGAAGAAAACAAAGAGCTCGGTTACCATAAAGAAGGTGGTTGTCAGGTCTTGAAAAGAAGGAATGTTTAGTTAGTAAAGCACATTTTATATATCAAACAAGAACAGAACTGAAAACATAAAGCATGAAAAAACTTCAAAACTTGCCATCTATATGACAGAACAGAAAAAATATATATGACATTTAGTCTTAAGTGGCTAAGTCTCAGCACCTCAACTTGCTCAGTCACCCTACTCAAACCAACCCAAACTACCCTGATTCAAAAGGCAGATAATCACTGACGATAATCTGTCCAGCTCACAGGACTACTGTAGGATCTAAAGAGACGCACTAACCGGCTGGCCAATTGCAAAGTACGCTACAACTGTAGAGGACAGGATTACAAGGGTAAATCAGGACCGTGCCACCTCAACAAAGAACTCAAAGCCTGCAATTCTAATCCAATGTGAAGAGCTGTGTTTCAAATTTTGTCCCTCTTAGCTTTGTCTATGTGTAATCCAAACTGATTCTCCTTTCTCCGCCTCTTCCTCAGCAGATTAGAGCAGCACTCTCTCGCTGCCTGCCACCTCAGCTTCCTCACTCCCTGTGGAGATGAGCAAAGGCAGGGAAGGGAGCAGTGCCTTCAGCACCCTCCAAATGCAGCTTAACTGCACGGCGCCACCAAGAGAAGCCCCACAAGCACAGTGAGTACACCAGGGGCAGCTACAGAACACTAATGGCTCAGTAATAAGCTGGGGTAGACAGAATACATGGATTTCCTTCACTTCAACTATTTTCCTTTTAAAATTCCCACCAAGTAAGCAAAAACTCCGGAATGGGTGACATTTTTAGTATTAAGAAACAATCCTCTTCATCATTTAACGTTTTGGAAGGAATTAGCTGGTAACAAAATGGGAGTAAGAAAGAACAGATGACTGTGCTGGAAAACCGGAAAGGAAATGAGCAGGATACAGCCAAAGTCACTACTTGGCCTGACTTACTTAAATTCTATTACTAAACTGGCTTCCCAGACTCGGGCTGCCTCCAATGCGACCAATGCCTGAAGATGAGGAAGCCCGTTCTGCACAGCGAACTGTAAGTTAGTCCTCAACTTGCTTTTATGTCTCTTGGTCAACATCATCTGCCACCTTAAAAGGATCCCATTTTCTGTCTTACACTTACCTATATTCAATGGCTCTGGTGTAATAGATAATAGCTATATCAAATCGTTCTTTGGAAAATTCTTCATTTCCTTTCATTTTCATGAATTCTCCTTGCTGAGAAACCAAGGTGAGAGAGAACGCATCAGTCAGCTCCAAAGACCATCAAGAACCCAATACCTAGGAACAAAGTCTTGGTTTCTATCTTTGATTTCAGAAATAACCTAAGACTGGGATGGTGAGCCTTTTGGAGATGAGTGTCCTTGCCAGGGATATAGCTCAGCAGCACAAGCGCCTGCCTGGCAAGCCCAAGGGCCTGAGTTTGATTCCCGGTACAAAAAAAAAAAAAAGAATAGAGATGACTGTCCAAACTGCAACCCCAAATCCACTTATTTATCACAAAGTGTCAACACTGCAATTGAACCTGAATACTGAGGTTTTGGTTTAGAAAAAAGCTCATGTGTTAACATCTTTTGCATTAAAAGAGAAACACCATATATGTCATAGGCTCACCACTACTGACCTAGGGGATTATTTACACAGATAATGGGAGTGTAGCATCTAATATTTCGGTATATACAATCAGCCCTCTGTATCCATGGGCTTTACATCTGCAGGTTCACCAAGCACAGATCAAAAGTATTTGGGGACCAAAACTATTAAACACTGACTTTTCCCCTTGTCATTACCTCTTAAAGCATACGCTACCACAGCTCCTGATAGCATTTTTACTGTGCTAGGCAATATAAGTAGTCCAGCAAGGAGAAAAGGTGCAGGGAGAGTACATGAGTTTCTCAGCACCTACTTTGTGAATTTTCCTACAGGACAGGAGCACTTGCAGGGTATCAGAGGGGTCTGGGAACCAATGCCCCTAAGACACTGAGGGGTGACAGTGCATTAAACACTTTTTCTCGGATGACTCAATACTAACTTCAATAAAGAAATATTAAAAACTAAGCAAAACCAGCACATTATAAATAATTACTAATTTTTTTCCTTTATGTGCAATATTAGGCAGAAATATTCCTTTTGTTTGTCTTGTTTTGTTTTTGTCTTTTTTGAGACACAGTCTCACTATGCAGTTCAGTCTAGCTTCAAACTCACAGTGATCCTCCTGCCTCAGCCTCCTGAGTGCTGGGATTACAGGTGTGCACCACCACATCTGGCCTACGCAGGCATATTCTTAAGTATACCTTATCTCTACAGAAGGTATAGCACCCTAAAAATGAGATGCAAAGTAGATCCCACACACACACTAGGAATTAAACCCAAGGCCTGCCCACTCACATATATTCCTAGCCTTCCTTTTGAGACAGGTCTAAGCTACCCAGACTGGTTTGAACTCGTAACTCACTGGGTTTGAACTTATGACCCTCCTGCCTCAGCCTCCTAGAGTGTTAAGATTATAGGCATCCACCACCACACCTGGCTGCAAGGTGAATTTTAACTTGAGGCTAGCAAATATGATATGCAACAAACTTTAGTGCTTAAACATATAGTTAGTAACATATAGGCAATGTTCATTATGTTAACTGCAATGACATGGCAGGTTTGCAAAAAAATATATGAAAGATGCCACAGATATAATCAAAACTTTTTGCTTCAAACACTCAGATCTTTAAAAATGAATTAACTGCCAGACATGGTGGTGCACACCTGTAATCCCAGTACTCAAGAGGCTGAGGCAGTAGGATTGTTACGAGTTCAAAACTAGCCTGGAGCCGGGCGTGGTGGCACACACCTGTAATCCCAGCACTTAGGAGGCTGAGGCAGGAGGATCACTGTGAGTTTGAGGCCAGACTGAGCTAAAATAGTGAGTTCAAGGCCAGCCTGAACTACATAGTGAAACCCTGTCTCAAAACGACAAAAATAAATAAATAAATAAAAAGAATCACTTCTCTGAATAAACTGTATAGCATGTGAACTGTATCTCAATAAAGCTGTTACCAAAGTAAATCTTATTTCCTCAACTAATTAAAAGCCTGTGGTTGGAAAAAAACATCAAATTTTAATTTTCAATTAACTTTTAAGGTTACAAAATTTGGCTTTTTCTTCTTTGAAAGACTTCTAAATAAAAATTTACTAAAATTTTCCCTGGAACATACTATTCACCTTTACGGTAGTTCCTTGCATGCCGTCATGCACCCATTTTATTAATTATTAACAGTCTTCTGATTACTAACAGCTCTAACAAGCAAACCTTAAAATATATTTACAAGTAAATATTCTCACCTCTATACAATCAGCACAATTTTGAGTTTTAAATTCTTCAAGTAAATTGCAGTTTTCCGTTACAATTTTAGTTATGTGATACTTATCTATGTTTAGGAGAGAGTAAGAGAGAGTATTTGTTAAAAAAAACAGTATTGATGATATCCTAACTCAAGCAATTAAGTCCAAAAACTTAATTTCATTATTACAGTTAAACAGCCTGTGCATCTTGTAGTCTTTTTGTATATTAAACATATTTGAAAAATAAATGATAAAATGTTACCAGATTGCTGTGAATTTGATGTTTTTATTTTTAGCAATTAAAATCTGCTTTATTATTCATTAGCTTATTACCTAGTAATTCAGGGTAAATGCTCTGTCATGGCATGGTCCGTCCAAATAGGTCTCATAATCACTCAAGTCACTTCTACAAACGTCACCAAGTCCTTACAGTGGATAAAGATGTAAAAAAACAAAAGCCTGGAGAACTATTTTTTTTCCTTTTCTTTCTTTCTCCTTCCCTTTCCCACCCCCTTCCTCTTTTCTCCCCTTCCTCCCCTGCTTCTCTCCCTCCATTCCTTCCCTACTTTGGGGTTTGAGAGACAGAATCTTGCTTTTTAACCTAAGATGGTCTTGAACTTGCTATGGGGTGGGGAGCAGTTGAGCCACACTCAACTCCTTGAGATTAGAGCAAAGCCAGGCCCAAGGACACGGAATGCCAGAGGCAGACTGTGTGAACATGTTCACCTGCAGCTCAGCTGCCTATGAGCCGGTGTCTGGCCTTGGTGCTTGCTCTTCCTTATTAAGTATAGTACGGACAGTTTGAGAATGCTTTGCCTTCAGCGTTCCCAGTAAATCCTGAGACCTTGCACTCTGGATCCCATTGTGCGTTTTTTCCTGTTTTTACTTTGTATAAATAAAGACGCTGGGGCTGGGACACTGTCACTGCCCCTCGGTCAGAAAGGTAAGGTCCCACCTGGTCCCAGCGTTTCTTTTAGTACGTGTCTATAGTTTTCTCTTAATCTCTCACCGTCCCCTCTCAGAACCCCACTCCCCATAAACGTCACAGCACTATTTAGCCCAGGCAGGCCATGAAATGACAATCCTTCTAATGCAGCCTCCCCAGTACTAGGACTTAGAAAACTATTTTCTAAAATCTATGTATAACAAATAAAGTATTATAAATGCCTTTATTCAATATGTCACTTTATACATGAAATGCTAATAATGAGAAGTTACCTGAAATACTATCCTTTTTTTTTTTTGGCTTTTTTCCAGTACTGGGAATTGAACTCATGACCTTGCACTTGCCAGGCAGGTGCTGTGCCGCTGAGCTAAATCCCCAGCCCCTGAAATACTATTCTTATAAGAATTTAATGAACTGTACTAGATATCCAAGTTTGTGTAAAAAAATTAGCCTCATTTTTTGCATTTTTATATAAAAAAGATTTTTAAAAACACTGACAAAAATTTTATTACAATAAAATTATAGTTAAGCCTTTAGCCAAATACTATTTTCCAAGGTGATAAGAATACCTAAAGTTTTAACATTCAAGAAAGGAACTGGGAATGTAAACAAGTAAAGTAATATTAAGGGAAAGAGCATGACTAAGGGACAAAAACCTGGGCTTTATGATCACAGTCCTCATTGTCATCTAGGTTCTACTACATATTGGAAGGCAGAAATATCACTTAAAGTTTTAAATTTGCTTACTTCTGCAACAGATAATAATAGCCACTGTGCAGGGCTACTTAAAGATAGGACACAGGAAAGCATCAGAAATTAACCCACATAATACTGCTTCTCTATTTCCACCATAAAATCCATTCTGTAATTCAAAACCTCTGCAACAGTACAAAGAACAACTTTTATCAGTGTAACACATCCCAATGTCTAACAAACCTATCAAAAAGATCTGTGTGGGGCAATTCAGAATGCCTCCTGTTCCCTTTCCTATTCCCCAATAAACTTTCCTACTCTTAACCTCCCTTGCTCCTTAGAATTCACTCTCCCACTTCAGGGAACACAAACTTGGCATATCTGACATCTAGCATTTCCCCTACATCACCCTGGAGGTCCCACTGAGATAACTGGATGGAGGTGAGAGTTTGCTTTTGATTCGTAGGTTCTGGATTGCAACTCACTTAAGTAATCAAAACTTATCATCCTTGAATTTTCTGCATGGTCTTTTGTTAAAATGATGGCAAATTTGAGCTGAGAACATGGGAAGACTATGTCTCTTTGATGGGACATGCTATTCCTGTTTTGTACATGTTACATTTGGAATAACGGCTGAATTTATCGGCGTTCCTTGTTTGACCTAACTGTTGTGGTTCTTAACGCAGACAACAGCACTAGGGAAAAAAAGTGTTAGAGCTCCTCTTAGTGGACTTTGATATAAAATGCTGTAAAATGGGTCTTTTCAAATCTAGTTTACATTTAAGAAACTTACATGCCTAGTAATAATTCTCAGGACACCTTCTTCCAGTTAACAAGGCAGCAGGCTGGCAGCCAGTCTTAAGACTTGGGGCCAGGTTTCACTGAGACAAACTGGCCCAATCCTCCTCTAGACTCTAGAGGGCACGTTGAGCCTGCTCTGTGGAACTTTCTTTTCTTGTCTGATCTTCTGCTGGTGAGGAGGCATCTTAGCTCTTGAGAGTTCCCATTCTTGCCTTTCCTGGCTGAGAGCGATGCCTCGTGAGCAGGCCGTCTCAGTAACTCACCATGAGCCTAAGAAGAAAAGGCCTCCTTTTCTGAACTCATTTCTGATCTGTCCCCGCTACTTTGTAACTTTCCTTTTTAAAGGCACGTAACAGCCTGGTGTGGTGGAACATGCCTTTAATCCCAGCATTCAGGAGGCTAAGGCAGGAGGATCACCGTGAGTTTGAGGCCAGCCTGGGCTACAATGCAAGCTCAAGACCAGCCTAAACTGCATTGTGACAGCCTGTCTCAAAAACACAAAATTAAATAAAGACAGGTAATATTAGAGAAAGCAGAACCTATTCCTCCTATCCAACAACTACGATCCTTTAAGTTGAACCTGTAGAAAATGAGTGTTAATACCGAAGTCAGGGAGGTCATCTTAAATGAAGAGAGCTCAAGCTTTTATCACTTACAGAACTTAAACAAACAGTGATTGTTGTGCCAGCTAAGTTAAACATGCTTAGAGCAGCTGCCATGCTTCAAAGGACAGGTTCCCCAACACCTTCCGGTGAATCTCCACTCAAGCCAATGTTGACCAGACAGGCAGCTGGATTCCTTTCTGGAGACAGATCTCTGCTTGCACAGAACCAGTGGAAGCTAATATGACAACTGAGAGATCATGGACAGGGGATGCTCTGGCAGATACCCAAAGGATCCTCAATGGAAGCTAGGTCCCAACAGCCCCACTGGGTAACCAGCAGAAAAATCTCCACTTATCCATTGTCTCTATCTGCATTCCTCAGTAAGGTGAGAGGTAACTGTCTTACCCATCTTCTGCTATCCTGCCCCAGAGTGACCAGAGATGACACTGTTACCCTCTTAAGCCTCCATTAAGAGTTGCGCTAACTCCCCGACATTTTTTTCCAGCTTGTTCTAAATTAACACTTCAGAACTACCTTGTAGTTAAGACTACCCACCACCATAGGTTGAGGCAGCTTTTAACAACTGTTTGCCCTTCATGGAGGAAAACAGCTATCAGAGAAGCGATTTACACTTATACCTTACATGTACTAAGAGTAAAAAGAGTTTTAGCCCGCCTTTTTTTTTCATGTGCATGTAGAAAACTGACAAACGTGCCTTTATTAACATGTGAGTTGTGACTGCCAGGCAATGGGTATGAATTTAACCTGTGAGCTTCAGAGACACAGAAATCTCAGAATGGATTTTGAGGAAAAGCCTTTTTCTGCTGCTGAGGAAGGTTGCCTAGGGGATTAGGGAGATAGCATAAATGTCTTGAAGACTTTGTCACCCTCGGGCCCAGGGTAGGATTCCTCCAAGCCATTTACTTGACTCTGTCTGTCTCTAGAGGTGAGCTCTTTTGCAGGCTGGAAAGTGTTCCAATTTTCCCCTTGATCTATCTTCCTCACTCTCTTTCAAAATATTGGAAAGCAATGGTTTAGATCTCTTCATTATTGGTTTAGCAAACAATGCTTCCTTCTTTAAACATGACTGTTACAGCTGGAATCAACTGTAACTCATGCTTTGGGAAACACCAGCTGGAGTTAAAAATACAAGTTCCCAGGGAAGATGGGGTCACGAGCTGGTAAAAGATAGACAGTCCATCCCAACCTACCTTCCACCCTCCAGATAGCAGCCACCTGCTCTGAAGCAGAGCACAACTTGAGAGACAACTGTATCAAGTAGAAATTAAAGGGATGCCGATGCTTTCTCTTGTATTTCAGTTGGGAGTCTCAATCTCTTACTGCTTTGGAATGTATTCTTAAGCACTAGAAAATGTCTGACCCTTACATATTAAAAATATATATATATACTAAAATATTTTACTGTGTGCATACCTGGCCTGCCTACCCTCTAGAGTGAAAAAGAAATGCTGAGGGAAGTACTGATTATGATGCTGCTTCACAACTAGAATCAAATTGTAAGAAAAAGGGAAAATGGTCAGAATTGCCTTTCATTCAGACTTTGCATAAAGAAATATTATAATCCTTACTTGTATTCAAAATATAAATATAAGCCACAGGAAAACCAGACATCTCTGGCCCCTAAGACACAATTAGATGCATGCACTATCACTGAGCTTCAGGCTATTCTTCTTTGACCTTTAGACCCTGATAACAAGGTTTTCAAGGTAACCTTAATCTCACCTACTATACCATACCTGAGAACAAAGATTCCAAGGCAACTTTAATCAAAGCCACATTCACCACGAGTCTGGGGTTTCCCCTGCCTCTCTTTCAGATCCTAAGAGTGGGGCTTCTCAGCCAGCAATAACTGAAGCCTCTATTGGATTATATTCATCCTAGGCTCGTTTTGTTCCAGACCTTCAAGGACAGTAAGTAAATGGCAGATACAGGACTACCGGTGTTCATTTATCCTTTTCTCTCAGTGACCTCAAACAGATCAAACAAGATCTAGGAAAGTTTTCAGGTGACCTTGATAGGTGCACTGAGGTCTTTAGAGGACTTATTCAGACCTATGAAACAGACTGGAAAGATGGAATGTATACTTAAATCAAACATTGACTTCTAATGAGAAAAAATGGGTACAGACTTTAATCTGTGTTTCTTAAGTGTATTACACATACCCTCACATACATATTTTCAGAGTAGGTTTAAGTAGACCCTAGCAAGCCTACTATGGAGGGAAGTTACCTAGACAGCTAGATAGAGAAGCCACAATTTCCTGAAGACCTCTTTGTCCAAAGGCCAAAACTTCAAGCCCGGCGTGGTGGCACACACCTATAATCCCAGCACTCAGGAGACTGAGGCAGGAGGATTATTTCAAGCTCAAGGCCAGTCTGGGCTACAAAGTGAGCTCAAGTCCAGCCTGAACTGCACAGCGAGACCCTGTCCCAAAAAGACAAAAGCAAAACAAAACAAAGCAAAGGCCAAGACTTCTTCTGGACTATTACCTGTCTCTGTCTTTCCCGAGAGGTGAGAGATCTGTTTTTCAGATTGGGATTTTATAACTTTTTGATTCAGAGTCATTTTTAGAAAGTAAGGCCTAAACAATATAGTTGGAGCAATGTTATTTGCTCTCTCTCTCTCTTTCAAAAGGTTAAAAAGCAGCCATTCAGGTTCTTTGCTTATTGGCAATGCAGTTGGAGTCAATCATAGCCTTTGTCTTAAGGTGTGCATGTTTTGCTAAGGATTAGAGACCCACCCAAGCTCCTGATCTTAATTGCTTTTCTACATCTGAGATAGTTACCATTTAGTTCTTGTGCAACACTTAAAGAGTCACTCTCCTTCCCCTTCTCCACTGCCCTGCCTCAGAGAAATGATGCAGTTTGCAACAGAGTTTGGTCCAAGACAATTCTTTCCTCTCTGGCTGCTGAATTTCAGGACCAAGTCTCCAGAACAGTGGTGAGTTTCCCCTCCCTGGAACCCTTCTAGGGTGAAGCTAACCTTCACTTATCTCCAGGCCATATTTACTTTTTTGTTGTTGTTGTTTTAGGTACTGGGGATTGAACTCAGGACCTTGCACTTGCCAGGCAGGTGCATGTGCCATTAAGCTATATCCCCAGCCCCCTCCAGGCCATATTTAAAAAGCTGGTCTAATGCCAGGCGTGGTGACTCACACCTGTAATCCCAGCACTCAGGAGGCTGAGGCAGAAGGATCATGAGTTCAAGACCAGCCTGGGCTACAAAGTGAGCTCAAGGCCAGCCTGAACTGCATAGCAAGACCCTATCTCAGAAAGACCAAAAAAAAAAAAAAAAAAAAGACCTCTAAAATATGTAATTAGTATTATGAAATATGAAGAAAATGTTTAAATGGGAAAGGGAATTTCAGAGGAGGTAGGAGGAAAAGAAGGGAAAAGAAAAAAATGGTAAGGAAAAATAGAAACAAAGCTTTTGCAAATAAGGAGGGAAAGAGGGGCTAAAGGGCGGGTAGGGGAATGGGAAAAAGAAAGAATCAAGTTGTATCACATACAGGTACAAGTACCCTACAATGAATGTAATCATTATGTATACCTAAAATATATCAATAAATTTAATAAAAACAATTAAAAACTGGTGTAGATTTAATCCTGAAACTCTCAAAGAATGAATGTAGAAGTTTTAGGCCAAATTTACCTGCCTTTTAGCCCTTAAGCCGAACTGGAGATTAACTCCTCTTACTTCCTTCTCTCCTCAAGAATGATGCTGACTGGTTTCTATAGCACAGTTAAGTTCAATGATAGAACAACATTCCTAGGGGACCACTTGAGTTTAATAACAATTTTAAACAGAAACAGGTATTAAAGAATAGGCAAAGCCCTGTCCCCTGGGGACTGCCTTATTCAACATGATTTCTCTCCAGAACATCTTACCAGGCCGGCCACTATTCTCGGAGATATGCTAACTGAGGATCTGACCAAGGAAGCCCTAGAGCTAGGCATGGTCCAAGGATCACAAGGAAGGGGGCCCAGGTGCACAGTAAGAGGAGCTAACCCGGTTCTGGCCACTTCCTTGCACCTCCAACCTGCCACCACTGGCACGGGGCAGGGTGATGTATAAGGGATGCCTTACAATGGGCACAGAGGAAGAGGGACAGGTGGGGACACTTTCTTTCCCTTTGTTTCTTTTCAAAACGGAAAAACACTTGTCATAGGTAGACATCTACAGCAGAGCCAGTTGGAGCCTCAGCAGGCCTTCCTCCCCCACCATTTGGAATCCATACTTAGCTCCAAAGAGTGCCACCTAGTCTCTCTCTACCCAAACCTGGCCTGGTGCCCCCTGCAAATAGTTAAAATTACCTCTAACGGACTGTCCCTTTAGAGGGAATAGTCACAGGTGGCTATCAAAAGGCAGATTTGGCTATCAGCTGTGACTATGGCTATCAAAACAACTATGGCTATCAAAGCAACAATGAGGAGCTTGTACAGATGGGTATTCCAATCAGATAAACCATCAGCCTAGGGCCCGTCTTAAGGGTCTTTGCTTTCACAGGTGTAGAAGACTTTTATTCCTTCTGATTCTTTTTACAAGAGATCTCTCTTAGTTCACCTGCAAAAAGTTCTGACTAGTCTATTTATAGTTACAAACTTAAAAACTGTAAAAGACTTACTAACTTGGCCAAATACACCTGAGTGCACTCTGGTCTATTAACAAATGTCTTCTATGTGTCTGTATGTCTGTCTATGCAATTTGTGACTGGTTACAATATTACAGCTGATTTCAACAATTTTTTTTCTTATTTTTGCCTTTTGGGATTTTTAAAATATTTGGCTGTAACTTAAAATGGCTTATAGGTGTCATTAGAGCTAAGAACATGCTTCCACCCAAGTTGCCAGCTGATACCCTCCATGAGTAGGGGATCTAAGAGACATCTGATTACCACCACTATGCCAGTCCTGTAAGAGCTCTTTATGTGTGTGGGGGGGGTTCTTTCTGGATGTGGCTCTTTCCCCAACCTGCCTACCCATTTTGGTGCTCATGCTTTGATTACGCACGCTTTAATTTCTTGGAAAATCTGTTTATTCTTCCTAGAGGCTATCAAACTCTAAGTGATCATGCAGATGGAACCCACAACAAATGTGCCAGAATCCTGTCACAAGGATCCATACAGTGACCTTATAAAGGGAATTCGTAACTGCTAAACTGCAACAGGACTTCTAGCTAAGGTCCATCAGGTTACCTCCCTGGAGAAGACCCTAACTGCGGTCTCCCCTACACTGAGACTCCTCATCTTGAAGCAGCTAGACGGAAACTTATGGATCCTGCTTCAGAGAGGGGAATGTTACAGATGGCTAAGTTAGGCAGAAATATTGCAGACAGTTAGACAGGGCTGGGCCCTCAAGGGCGTCAGCGTAGCAAATGGAAATGCATGTAAACTGTGGCTGAAGGCACAAATGAAGATTAAAGTCACAGTGGCTAGATTTATGTATTTCCCTAAGAGATGCACAGAGGCTTGCAATTACTGGTATCACGCTTTTGAGATTTCCCATTATCTCATTAGGGGTAGGTCATCCTCTCACACACTCTAAGAGTAAGACTACTAAGACTTAAGACAAGACCAAAACTATAAATTAGCGACCAAGGTTAATGATGTCACGAAGTGACCTTGCTACCACTGGATCAACATTACCTAAATGACTATGCTTACAATCTTACTGGCTGATTGTAATTTTGACCCACGTTGTATCTGCCTCAGGATTTTGCTCTATAAAACTTCCCTTAAAAGATGAGCTTGTTGGCAACCTATTCAGGGGCCCTCATGTCTCTCAGGAGCTATTCCTATTCTCACTCCTATTCTCCAACCAATTCTCCCACTCTAAAAAGAAAAGAAGAAAAAGAAAGATCTGTGTGTACTGAGGTATAATTCCTCTCCAGTATTAAGTTATTAGCAAAATTTATCTTTTTCTCAGTGGAGATGGCCAATAATTGGTCATTATCTACTAAAGAGCCAAATATTTCCTGTTTCAAGATTCCTGTAGCTGGGCTGGGGATTTAACTCAGTGGAGCAGTGCTTGCCTGCCAAGTTTGAGGGCCTGAGTTCGATTCTCAGTACCCAAAGGAAAGATTCCTACCAGGCACGGTGGCGCAGGCCTGTAATCCCAGCACTTGGGAGGGTAGGCAGGAGGATTATTGTGAGTTTGAGACCAGCCTGGGCTACAAAGTGAGCTCAAGGCCAGCATGAACTGCACAGCGAGACCCTGTCTCAAGAAAGACCAAAAAAAAAAAATTCCTGTAGCTGTTCTATAAAAATACTCCTAACGTTCAAATGCTTTAAAGAAAAAATAGGTAAGAAAGTAAAAGAAATATGCAAGGCAGTTTGTTTATACATAAAAGAATAGCAGATTCACATGAAAATGAAAATCATAATCTTAGTTTGTATAATGTTTCTTATGAATAAGAATACATGAACCTTGGCTGTGGACTCAATCTGAGTATGATGAATAATAATTTATGAGGTCCATTAGGCAAGCGGGATTCTTTTAAAGCATGGTGACACAAAAATCACTAAGTCAGTAAATGGAGAATAAAACCAACCAGGTTAAATTTCTCTTATTCCAGCATTAAAACAGAAAAACCATACTTTAAAATTCCTCAAATAAATCAGAAATCACATTAAAAGCACATCCCACTTTCCCAAATCACACCTTTAAAGACAGAGTCAACAATTTAAAGCATTTATACTTACATTCAGTAAAGAAAATACTTAACAAAGGCCAACTACTGTCAAGTGATCCTAATTTAGGTAGAATTGTTACATCGCCTGTGTATTTGATCCAATTTAAAGCTTCTTCCATGGCCAACATTTTCTGTTTCAAAAAGAGGAATGAAGAATAGGATTTGGCTATTAATTCTAAATTTGTGTGTGGCATTACAAATTTATTGGACACAGTATTTTCAGTTCCTTAACACAAAACTTACACACCCCCATATGTTCGTTATTCCATCATGCAATGGAGAACAGTTAGACTCCAACACACAAGTAAACATAAACATGACACACATATGTTACATTTGCAGGTGAACTCAAGCCATCCTCAGAGCTCAGGATGCTTCTGCAATGTGTACAAACCTGGAAGTTGAGGTCTACAACTTGGCAGGGGCTGCCCTAGGTAGCAGGACAGTACGAGGATTAGGGTTCTCAGATCTTGTATAAACTAGGGCTTGCATTCTTACCGCAAGGTAAAGGTCGCCCACAGGGACTATGTATTCTACATGGCCTATGGCCAACACTGTCATGAGATAAACATCAAGGGAAGGGTGTGACTGGGCAAATGGGCACTCAGTGCAGTGATGTTCATGAAAGGTCGAGTCCACAGAAGTATTCTTTGCTCTTCTAGTGTGAAGTAACTTCAGAGATTAAATAGCTCTGTTGTTATTCCTGGTATCAGGCTTAAAGGAAACATGTAGACATTTATGTCTTAAGCAGCATTAAAAATTGGTTTAAGGAAGCTGGAGATTACCTAGCAATTATGTATCAAAAAACATTCATACCAGGGACCTAATAATTTCATTCTGGGGAATATACGCCAGGGAAATAGCATAGAAGAGAAAAAAGAACTAACTTGTAAAAGAGGCCCAAAATGACACTACAAATATGAGTAAGAAAATGAAAATGAGCAAACCTGCAAAATAGCATTACTGAAGTAAAATACAAAAATCAGTATTACAAAATACTACACATAAAATACTGAGTTTGAGGACTCAACACATGGGAAAATGACTAGTGAGATGACTGCCTTTATTCACAGTGAGTATGCCGGTTTCCAGTATTTAACACTTACATTCTCTATTTTATAACCAATTTTCAATAAGCCTTCAATAAGGAACGAATCATTCTGCAAAATAAAAACAAAAAGAGCAAAACACACAACTTTTTTCCTTATTCCATCAATTATATTTGAATATTCTTTTCTCTTTTTTTTGGTACTGGCAATCAAATTCTGGGCCTCGTGCTTGCCAGGCAGACGGTGTACTGCTGAGCTACATCCCCGGCCCTATACCTGAATATTCTAATGAAAAAAAATCCTTCATTTTAGGTGCATTCCTTGCATAATGACACTTTGGCCAACTCACTAGTGAACCACAAACAGGACAGCAGCCCTGTAAGACTGCATAATGAAGATAAAAAACTACTGTGCGACACTGAGGCTGTGGTGACATCACAGCATAATGCAGTGCTCTGCTCGAGTTCATGTTGGTACTGAGGTAAAATTTACTGTACTGCCAGTCACATAAAAGTATAGTGTGAACAATTTCATAAAGTTCATACCTGATAATCACAATAAATGGTGTATGCATTTACTAAAATAAACTCTGTTTTGCCATTTTTGACTGTACTTACTCTTAAAAACTGTGAAACAATATGGTATGTTATGGAGTCTCACAGCTTGTGTTTACTGTGTCCCTTGACTGCATCAGCAGAGCAAATCAAGTAACTGACCTATCCCATCTAGGGTTGAATACTCTATGACTTTCATACAATGAGACAGAAAATCATGCATTCCTTAGACTGTATGCCTATTTTTTTGAGGGGGGGCTACTGGGAATTGAATTCAGGACCTTCCACTTGCCAAGCAGGTACCATGGGAAAATGACTAGTGAGATGACTGCCTTTATTCACAGTGAGTATGCCGGTTTCCATGCTGCTGAGCTATCTCCCCTGACCCTATATGCCTATTTTTTTGGTCTTTTTTGAGACAAGGTTCCACTATGCAGTTCAGGCTGTCCTTGCACACACTGTATAGCCCAGGCTGGCCTCGAACTCACAGTGATCATCTTGCCTCAGCCTCCTGAGTGCTAGGATTAACAGGTGTGCACCACCAGACCAGGCTTGTATGGCTATTTTTAAACAAGGAACGACTATATGACTGTATGAACATAGGAATATACTTCCCATAAACAATAATCATTTTACCCATACAAATCCCAAAGAATTCAGAAAGTCTTTTATAGGATTCTGATGATAAAATGATTTTATGTAACTTGTAGATATGTAGATTTTTAAAATTCATTATACCTAAGTCTTTTATAAAAGTACACTGGTAGCCGGGTATGGTGGTGCACACCTGTAATCCCAGCACTCCGGAGGCTGAGGCAGGAGAATCGTTTTGAGTTCAAGACCAGCCTGGACTACAAAGTGAGCTCAAGGTCAGCCTGAACCGCATAGCGAGACCCTGTCTCAAAAAGACCAAACAAACAAATAAATAAATAAAGGTCACTGACTGGTAAGTTATTGCAAAGAATCATCAGCAAGAAATAAATACAAAAATGCCCTTGCTGAGACTTAAGTATGAATCAGAATAGTATCAAGAACAATACTTGGCTCCTGAAGCAACTGAAATGAGAAATTATCAAATGGCTTTGGAGAATATACCCCCCCCACACACACAGATTTTCTTTTTTCTTTTTTCTTTGTCTTTTTGAGACAGGGTCTCTCTATACAGTTTAGGCTGGACTAGAGCTCACTTTGTAGCCCAGACTGGCCTCGACCTTGCAACAATCCTCCTGCCTCAGCCTCCCAAGTACTGGGATTATAGGTGTGCGCCACCACACCCGGCTACAGATTTTCTTTTTTTTTTTTCCGGTACCGGGAATTGAACTCACAACCTTGCGCTCACCAGGCAGGCGCTGTGCTGCTAAGCTAAATCCTCAGCCCCCGGCTACAGATTTTCAATGCAGTGCAAAGTTACTCTCTAAATCTACCCCAATGACAAAGGATTTGTAGACCGTAGTGTGCTTTTACATCAAAAGACAGAGCTCATCACTTTCAGAGCCTGTTAGGAAGGTTTCTATAAACCACAGCCCACTTTAATTTGTAACAAATTCAATTTCTATCCTTTAATGACAAGAAGCAGTCCTGATTCCTGCTATGCTACCTCAGAACCATGACACCAGCTATCTACCAATCACCTCAATATGGAGAACACTAACAGACACCAAAATAATCTCAGCTTTACAAAAACTAAAACTGTTATGTGTCAACTGCTATAAATTAGTAACATAGGCCTGACACCATGTATTTTTATGTATGGGTGGGAGAAACATATATTTTATCACTTACCGAAACTTTCTTTGCCAAATCCACAATATCTTCCATCAACTCAAGACATTGTAATTTCCTCAAACTTATCTCAGAAGCATGAGAACTGCTTAAAGACAAATTTTTAAAAAAATATTAGGTTTGCATATATATAAACTCATTGAACTTTTTACTTAACTATGTTATATAGCAACTAAAACAATCTAAAAAAATTCTTTCTTCACTCCACGTCACAAGCTATTTGCTATCCTCAGAGCACAACAGTTGGTCCCACAAACATATCCCTGAATTTCCTACTGTAAATTTTTATTTATAATAGCCAGCTGTGCATCTCAGTACCTTTCCCTGAGGGATATAGGAAGTGACTGTTTTTTTGGGTTCTTTTTTCCTTCATCTTTCTTTTCAGACAGGGTCTCACTATGCAGCTCAGGCTGGCCTTGAGCTCCCTTTATAGCCAAGGCTGGCCTCCTGCTTCAGCCTCCCGAGTGCTGGGATTACAGGCATGCGCCACCATGCCCCACAGGAAGCAATCTTTGTGTTTACTCACTTGGTACAACACCAGGCAAGGTGTGTGCACATGTGCAAAAGGGTCAAACCAGGATTTAAACCCACAGGATGCTCCATGGAACAGTGTTGCATATGCTTACCTGAGCATCACAGAGGGTATAATATATCCACAGCACGCAAGGATTTGTTTTTTGAAAAGTTTTATTTTGATTTTTCTAGAAGAAGTAGGCCCAATTCAACACAATGGCATGTGAAAAGCCAGATTTGGAAGTTTTAGAGGAGGTCAAAAGTGAATTATCAGATTACTTATGCATGGATGATAAAGATGATCCATTAGGGTAAAATACATGTTTTCGTAATACAAGAGCGGTATGGTGGTACATGATGAGGAGGACTTTTAATGTTGGACATGTGAGCCAAAGTGCCTGTGATAGTAAAATGGAGCAAGAATCGCAGGGAATACAGACCTCCTTGATTCAGATGATGGAGAAAACAGCAATGTGAATACATATTTGACTAGTTGAAATGTTGCAAAATGGTCACACAACCAAATGGAATGACCCAATGCTAGAAGTAGGTACAAAAATATAGTGAGGATCTTAGCAGGGGTGAAACAGATTGGATAGAATGCTAGCACTGCCATTCAATACTGGAAACTGTAACAGATGAAATGCTGTCAGATGCTATAAAATACACAAACCTGATATGAGAAATATGTTCTGTATGCACCAATAGCCATATTCAAAAATGTATTATGACACCTCACTAGCTGAACTGAAAGCATTCATTGGTCTGCCGTACTTAGGGATTTCTCATGGTAATTGCAAGAATATAGAAGTCTGATGGAAGAACAATAGGTCAAAATATGGCATAAAAATTACACCCTTGTAGAGGCAATGACTTATTATGCTTTCAATTTAGACATTTATCCTTGAACTCAGCCATCGGGTCCTTATTTATGCAGTAATAAACTGAATGATACTGTGAGCAGACTTGCTCCCACCTCCCAAATCAGAATATGACATTCAACAATTGGTTTACAGGTTTTCAACTGATGTTACATTTGCTAACAGCGCACAAGTTGACCAGTATAGGAAGTACGTGCAGGAACAAAGCAGAAATTTCAAATGAAATGCTGCAATTTCAAAACAGAGAACTGTATAATACAATCTTTGGATTTCAGAAAGATTTACATTGGTCTTGCATATGGAAAAACAACAACAACAAAGTGGAATTGATGTCAACATTGCACCACGATGGAAATACTGACAGGGAAACCTCAACAAAATGGAAGCCTGAGATGGTAACTTTCTACAAAAAACCAAAGGCAGAGTAGATGATGTTAATGAGTTATGCAGCAACTATGATGTCACTCTGAACACAAAGCCCTGGCCAATGGTTGTATTTTACTTGATCCTAAAAATGTGTGGCATAAATAGCTTGATAGTTTACAAAGAATATAACAAGTGCAAAATAGCATGGAGAAATTTTCTTACAGGACTGGGACTGGACCTCATAAGAGATCATTTAGAGCACAGGAGAAACAAAATGTTTCTGCCCAGGGAACTACGCAAAAGAATTGTGGGGCCGGGGATACGGCTCAGGGGCACAAGTGCCTGCCTGGCAAGCACAAGGCCCTGAGTTTGATTCCTGGTACCAAAAAAAAAAAAAATTGTGGACCACACTGGTGAGCTGACAAGTGAACAGGCGGGCACAGTATCCCAAAAACCTACTATCATCACAAGAAAACCCAAGAAGATATAAACTGTGCCCTGTAAGAAAGCACAGGAACACAAAACTATGTGCTATCAGTGTAAGTGATATTTGTATATGGAACACGCAATTTTTATGTATGAAGACTACCATGGTGTGACAATTGAAGCAAAGATTATTTTTGTTGTAGAGTTCTATTGGTATTTTCATTGTAGTTCACAAAGGTTTTTATTTCTACTATTGCCTCTTAGGTTTTGAAAACAAGTACACAGTTGATGTGTCTAGTCTAAGCATTCATTACGCATTTGATATTTTATTTTATTTCTTTATTTTTTTTTTTACTGACATCTCATTTCCCTGCTAAGTGCATGTCATAGAACATAAAAGGAAGCTCTGGACAAAACAGGAAATGACCAGAATGTGCTACCACACAGGAAAGGAAAGCTAAGCACATGTGCTGTTAGTGTAAGTAAGACAGGTGCATGGAACATGCAGTTGTCATGTGTGAAGACTGCCTTGGATGTGACAGTTGAAGCAATTTCTGTGGTAAACTTTTGTTTGTGTTTCACTGTAGTAGGTTTCTATATCTGACAAAACCTCTTAGGTTTTGTAAACTAGTACACAACTGATGTGAAATGTTGATGTCATTCTAAGAACTCATACATTTGATATTATATTGACATCTTATTTTCTTATTATTCAGGTTTGATGATTTAAGATTTTTTTGGGTAGAATGCAGTTAGCATTTTCATTGTAGTTCATATAGGAATTTCTTTCTGATTGTATCTCTTAGATTTTGCAAACAAATTCACAGCTGATGTGAAAGTGCCGATGTCTATTCTAAGCACTCATTACGCATTTGACATTTTATTATATTGACATCTTATTATTTAGATGTGATAACTAAAATACAGATTTTCTAAAAGAGTGCTATTGGTATTTTCATTGTAGTTCATAGTGGAATTTATTTCTGATGTCATCTCTTAGGTGCTATAAGCAAGTACACAGCCAACATGAAATGATGTTTATTCTAAGCATGCAATACGTATTAAGAATCAAATACTTTACTGACATTTTATGTTCTTGTTAACTACACATTGTATAATATAAGAACCTCCTGACAAAACACCAATGTCAAGTGTGTCCTACAAAAAGGCCAAGAAAGCAAAACACAGGTGCTGTCAGTGTAAGTGATACATGTGTATGGAAGGTGCTGTTGTCGTGTGTGAAGACTGCCTTAGGTGTGACAACTGAAGTAAAGATTTTTTTTGAGTGCTAGTGGTACTTTCATTGTAGTTCATGTAGGAACTTATTTCCGTTGTTCTCTTTTAGACTTTGTACACCACAAATCAGTCAATGTTGAAAATTTTGATGCTTTTTTTATAAACACTCGATAAATACTAAAAATGCATCACTTTATTTTTAAACATTTTTTCCTGTTAAGCGCTCATTGTCTAATAGAATAGAACTCATAAAATTAAAATTAATAATTCATCAAGCTGGGCATGGTGGTACACGCCTGTAATCCCAGCACTCAGGAGGCTGTGGCAGGAGGATGGTCATGAGTCTGAGGCCAATGTGGGCCACGTAAGTGAGATCAAGGCCAGCCTGCACTACATAGTGAGATGCTGTCTCAAAAAACAAACTAACAAAATGAATTCATTAATACGAATATCCTAAAGAATAAATATGGGTTTGACACACCCATGGTTACGCCCCCCTCTTCATTACAAAAAATGTGTTAGCTGTTAGACATACCAAATAGTGTATCTTTTTCTCTTTCTTGTACTACAGCACTGACATTTATAAAAGGGTATCGTTCCTGGCTCAGCGCTGAGCCCAGGATCTAATACTATTCAGAATGTATTCATTATAATGTTCAATTATATTAAAAACCCAAATATTTACTTTTTCTACTCAATTAAACAAAAATAAAACTGAATAGCAGGCAGGAATGAGGCATGACCCTCCCACTGTATTAGGCACTCCTTCGTGGCACGCGAAATATTTACTGCTGTTCATGGAAGAGAACATTGTAGGTGACATACCTGGGCTCCACACAGGGATGAAACCGCGGCACTATAGCAGCGTGCTGATGGTTAAAAAGAAGTGGCCAGAAGATATATATTTTAATGGCATCACAGTAATCGTGGAGGTCAGAAACTGGTTTACTGCACCATAAATTGCAGATGTCAAATTCTTAATTAAAATTTAAAAAAAGTTTTAAATTAGTCTTTGTGGCTCACCATTGAATAAATGAACAATGTTAATACAGAAATGGTGGGATGGGCTGGGAATGTAGCTCAGTGGTACAGGATTTGCCTACCATGCACAAGGCCCTCAATTTAATCCCCAGTACTACAGAAAAAAAAAAAAAAAAAAAAAACAGAAATGGTACAAGGGGATAAGAAAAAGCAAGGTGAACAGATGAGACATTTTAGCCACTTAGATACTAAGAATATTTAAGTGTTGGCTAAAACTGTACTTTAACAAAGAAAAGTTTTATGGAAACAATTTTTTTGTAAATGGGGAGGGCAGGGGAATGGGCAAATGTACAGATTCTCTAAGATGAATGTGATCATTATGTATATCTAAAATGTACTAATAAAGTCTGATCGAAAAAATAAAATATTGGACCTTTGGGGGGAAAACATAAAGTAATTTTTCTTAAAAAGTGAAGAATTCAGTCCAATTGTCCTTATTTTGCTTTTCAAATTAAAGTACAAATAAAAATATCATTGGGTCATTCAGTTGTTTGCATCTGCAACAAGTAGCATCATTTAGGAGATTATGTAAGATAAAAAAAAAAAGGTTTTAGTGAAAAAAATAGTAAGAATACTTTTTTGTGTGTGTCTGTTTGAGACAGGGTCTCACTATGCAGTTCAGGCTGGCCTTGAACTCCATGATCCTCCTATCCCAGCCTCCCGAGTACTGGGATTACAGGTGTGCACCACCACACCTGGCTTAAGGATACATTTTTAAGAGGCATAAATCTGCTGTGTGGATCTGACTAGAGGGATGGCCCTCCCCTTATGGTCTGTAAATAAAGTCACATTAACAAAACATTATACTCACCCAAATTTCCCTCTGTTTGGGCAAAATCTTTACAATGTTCACCCTAAAAAGAAGAAAATTATTTTTATTTGTATCAGCTATGCAAAAGTACAATGCTTGATTTTTAATCTAGAGCTTAGCAGAACTGAACTAAAAAAATTCTGGTGGCCATTTACTTACCTATCTGGACGCATCTTTAGCCAATCAGCCTTAATTTCAGAGCTTTTCCAGTGCTTCCTCTGAGCTTGTTTCTACACGCACACTGAAAGCTTTTCTACTTCTCAGTAAGAAATCCACTCCTGTTGGATTTCTTCAAATCCATTGCCTGTTCTCTGACGTCCATATTCTTACTACTGAGGTGCTGTTTATTTTCCCCTCTGAAGTCACCTCTTCCTATGCATGTGTATCTTCCTGTCAAAACCCATGTGCCAAAAAAAAACTCTGTACCCTAACGCAGAAAGCCTTTAGGACTCTGAGACAGCTAACTGTTGTGTCAACCCGAGTAAGAAACACACAGCTGATGGGATTAGCATGGTTCTGGGTGTGGCTGAAGGAGTTACTGAAGACAGAAGACCCACCCTAGGTGTGAGTGACACCAACCAATCAGCCTAAAACCTAGATACAGTAAAAAAAGGAGAGGAGGAGAAAGGCTCACTTATTTCTTCAAAGGAGCTCCAGTCTGTCTTTGCCTTAGACATCTGTCTCTGGCTTCCAGAGCAGACCCTTAAGCTTCCTCACCTCTCACTTTTGACTGGATCCTTCAGCTCTGCACCGAGCAGACAGCCCTTCTGCACTCTTCCACACTGGACTGCAGGTGACCACTGTAAGCCTACCTTGAAACCCAACTTATATTAATTAAATCTGTATATCTAGTGAGCACTGACACATATTTTGGTATTGGGAGTGGTTCTAGAGAAACAGAAATATAAAGATGAAATTTTTTAATAGCTTTAACAGCTCATAGAGATGGTTCTCTAATTTGATGAAAGCTAAAGATGGCATGGTCTCTCCTGATAATGCAGGGAATACTGACAGACCTTGGTGTGCACTGTTTCAATACACAATGTAGATTCCTTTGATTATCCTAATTCGCCACTTGTGAGGTGCAAGGAATTTAGCGGTTCCATATAAGATACTTTTGAGTACTTTTGGCAGAGTGGGAACTATAATGATGCCAGCTGGTTGCTCCTGACATATCTGGACAAACTGAGACCAGAGATCAGGGTGTAGCAAAGCTGGCTGTGGAAATAGGTACGAGCTGCTCAAAAATCCCAGACACATGCACAGCACAGTTCCCAAATTCCCGAATGTGGACTTCTTTTGAGAACTCAAGCAGGTTTTCAACAGGATGGCCTAGACCTGACATCAGCCACAAGATTGGGTGATACAAAAAGAACAGACCAAAGTAAGTTTTGTCACTGTTCTCTCTTGGATTGTAGCCGCCCTCATGCTCTTGGGTGTGCCCCTTTTCCTACTTTTAAGTGACCCAAACTGTGCTTGTCTTGACCAATTCTTTGATCAGGACCGAAAGAACCCAGAAGCCACCTGCAGAAGGAGACTCTAGCACCCAAAACTAGGTAACGAAACTAGAGAAGTATAATAATGAACTCAAAATATGCGTAAGAAATCTAAAGTCTTCTGTGAAGACAAAATAAAGGAAAATAAGGAGCTCAAAAATTCAAATTCCCAGCTGGACCTGGTGGGGCACACCCATAACCCCAGCACTCAGGAGGCTGAGGCAGGAGGACTGCTGAGAGTTCGAAGCCAGCACGGGGTACAAAGCAAGTTGAAGGCCAGCGTGAACTGCATTGTGAAACTCTGTCTAAAAAAGACAAAAATAATACAAAAAACAAAGATTCAAATTCCCAGCTCCAGCCATACATAAAGAATCTAAAAATCTCTAAGTGTGACCTGAAAGAGAACCTTCTCTGTTGTAGGCCAAAAAACAGAGCCTACAGAAACCCAAACACAGGCCCTCATAATCCGAGTAGCTGAAATGCAGGGTAAGTTAATGCTGCACCTCGAAGGGTATTTGAGGTAAAAGTGAGGCCAGTAATAGGGAAAAGAATGGGACCCCATACACTGGGATGGTGACGTGTGGGAGGATCCTGAGGAAGCTGAGGATGTTGAGTTCCTAGATGCTGATGAGATTATTCTGCCATAGGAAGAGATTTCCTCACACACATTGCTGGAGGCATCCCCACCCTCAACCCTTGTGGTGGTGGCCTCTCCTCTTTAAATGAAGAACTCTGTGTTGAGCGAGCACGATAATGCTGATAGCCCTCAGGACCCACCCTCACCACCTGCTTTTGCCTCCAGGCCCGTAACGAGCCAGGCTAAAATCGCACAAGGCTCCTAAAGGTGAGGTACAGAGTATGACCCATGAGATGGTCCACTACTGTTCCAAAGAACTTCTTGAATTTTCTAACTCTTATTTGCAGAGCCCTGATAAGCAAGTGTGGGAACGGATTTCAAGGGTGTGGGATAATAATGGCAAAAATATACACCTGGATCAGGTTGCGTTTTGTCAATATAAGCCCATTAAATAGAGACTCTGAATTTAATGTTGTAGCTCATGGAGTTAAAAAAAAAAAAAAAAAAAAAAAAAAAAGTTTACAGCCAATCTTTTCCCCATCCTTCCTGAAGGGACTAAGGCCTTTTACCAGGGTAACTTTAGGCTTCTGGTTTTTTGTGTTGTTTTTTTTTTTTTTTCTTTTGACAGGGTCTCGCTGTGCAGTTCAGGCCAGCTGTGAGCTCACTTTGTAGCCCAGGCTGGTCTTGAACTCGCAAGGATCCTCCAGCCTCAGCCTCCCAAGTGCTGGGATTACAGGCATGCACCACCACGCCTGGCTTGGCTACCAGGGTAACTTTACATTGAGGGAAGGGAAATAAGCAGACATTTCAGAGACTCCTGAACGCTGGTTCTGAACTAACACTGATTCTAGGGGATCCAAAACATCATTATGGCCCTCCAGTAAGAGTAGGGGCACATAGAGGTCAGGTCATCAGTGGAGTTTTAGCAAAGGTCCGACTCGGTGGGTCCAGTAATACAGGTCCTCAAATCCATCCTGTAGTCATTTCCCCTGTTCCAAAATTCGTAATTGGGATAAATATACTTAGTACTTCACAGAATTCTCACACTGCTTCCTTAACCTGTAGTGTGAGAGCCATTATACTTGGAAAGACCAACTGGAAACCATTAGTTGTCTTATAGGGTTAAAGAGTAAACCAAAATCAGTATCATATCCCTGGTAGGACTGCAGAGATTAGTGCCACTATCAAAGACCTGAAGGATGCAGCGGCGGTTCCCATCACATCTCTATTCAATTCTCCCATTTGGCCTCTGCAGAAGACAGATGGGTCTTGGAGAATGAAGATGGATTATCATAAACTGAATCAGGTGGTGACTCCAATCGCAGCTGCGGTACCAGACGTGGTTTCCTGCTCTCCTATACAGCAGTATTTTGGTTTACGAATGTTTTTGGTTTGTGAACATTTGGCAAAATTTTGTTTTGTTTGCCAACTCTACGTCACAACCATCTTTCCCATACAAACATAAACATGGCCATTTTTCCCAAAATCACTGAACAAATTAAGTTCATGAAACGAGGTATCACTGTACTTTATATGCAGCTACTGACAAATGCCTTCCTCTCCATACCTATCCATAAGGTCCATCAGAAACAATTTGCTTTAAGCTGGCAAGGCCGGCAATACGCCTTCACTGTCCTACCTCAGGTTTTTTAACTCTCCAGCCCTGTGTCAAAATTTAGTTTGTAGCAATCTGGATCATCTTTCTCTTCCATGAAGTACCACCCTGGTCCATTATGTTGGTATCATGCCAATTGGAACAAGTGAGCAGGAGGTAGGAAGCAACCATTATGGACTTCTTAGTAAAGTATTTATGAGCCAGAGGATGGGAAATGAATCCAACTAAAATTCAAGGTCCCTGCAGGAGACTAGTGATGTGGGGCATGCAGACATATAACCCTTCTAAAGTGAAAGATGAGTTGTTGCATCTGGCTTCCCCTACAACTAAAAAAGAGGCACAACATCTAGTAGGCCTATTTGGAATTTTCAAGGCAACACATTCTCACTTAGATGTTTTGCTCTGGCCCATTTACTGAGTGACTCAGAAAGCTGCTAGTTTTGAGTGGAGCCCAAAACAAGAGAAGGCTCTGCAACAGATGCAGGCTGCTTGTGCGGACTGCTCTGCCACTGGGGCCATGTGACCCAGCAGATCCAGTGGTACCTGAAGTGTCAATGGCAGGTAGGGACACTGTTTGGACCCTCTGGCAGGCCCCCATTGATCAGTCACAACAAGGCCTTTAGGATTCTGGAGCAAGGATATGCCATCATCTGCAGACAGCTACTATCCCTTTGAAAAGTAGCTCTGCTACTGGGTCTTAAAGGAAACTGAACACTTGATCATGGGACACCAAGTCACCATGTGAGTTGAGCTGCCCATCGTGAGCTGGGAATTACCTGATTCACTACATCATAAAGTTGGACAACAGTCTATCATTAAATGGAAGTGGTATATTCATGATCGAGCCAGGGTAGGTCCAGAGGGCACAAGTAAGTTACATGAAGAAGTTGCCCACATGCCAATGGTTCCTACTCTTGCTATATTGCCTTCTGTATCCCAGCATGCACCTACAGTCTAAATGATCAGCTATTAGAGGAAGAAAAGGCCAGGGCCTGGTTTACAGGATAGTTCTGCATTTTATACAGGCACCATCCTCAAGTGGACAGCTATACCACTATAGCCTCTTTCTAGGACATCCCTAAAGGACAGTGGTAAAGGAAAATCTTAACAGTAGGCAGAACTTCAGGCAGTGTACCTGTTAGTATATTGTGGCTGGAAGAAAAAACGGCCAGATGTGTGACCATATACTTATTCATGGGCTGTAGCCAATGGTCTGGCTGGATGGTCAAGGACTTGGAAGGAACAGGACTGGAAAATTGGTGACAAAGATATCTGGGGAAGAAACTGTGAATAGACCTCTCCATAAAGGCAAGGGATTTAAAAGATATTTGTACCCCATATAAATGCTTACCAAAAAGTGACCTCAGCAGAAAACAAAACAATCAAGAGGATTAGGATGACTTGTTCTATAAATAGCACTCAACCTCCTTCTTCAACCACCTGTCACTCCCCAAAGGGCTCATGAATAGATCAGCCATGGTGGCAGGGAAGGTTATGCATGAGCTCAGCAACATGGATTCCCACTCACCAGACTGATCTGGCTACAGCCACTACTGAGTGGCCCATGTGCTGGGAGCAGAGACCAACACTCAGTCCCTGATATAACACCATTCCCCACAGTGATCAGCCTGTGACCTGGTGGTAGGTCAATTATATTGGATGCTTTCATCATGGAGATAACAGCTCTTTGTCCTTATTGGCATAGACATTTATTCTGGGTACGAGTTTGCCTTTCCTGCACGTAACGCTTCTTCCAAAACTACCACATGTGAACTTACAGAATGTCTTACCTACCAGCATGCAATTTCACACATAGCACTGCCTCTGACTGAGGAACACATTTAACAGCCAAAGAAGTGAGGCTCATGTCCACGGAATTCATTGGTCGTACCATTTTCCTCATCATCCAGAAGCAGCTGGATTGACAAAAAGGTGGCATGGCCTTTTGAAGACGTAGTTACAGCACTAGCTAAGTGGCAAGTGCTTGTGAGGCTAGGGCAAGTTTCTTTAAAAGGCTGTATATGCTTTGAATCAGCATCCACTATATGGTACTGTGTCTCCCAAAGCCAGGACTCACAGGTCCAGGAATCAAGGGGTAGAAATGGAAATGCTACCACTCACCATTACCCCTAGGGATCTACAGGCAAAGTTTTTGCTTCCTGTCCCATGACCTTATGCTCTGCTAGCCTAGAAATCTTAAGTCCCAGAGTGGGTAAGCACAGCAATGATTCCACTGCACTAGAAGTTAAAACTTTCCCTGGTCATTTTTGGACTCCTCATGCCTCTGAGTAAACAAGCTAAAAAAAATAGTTATGGTACCAGCAGGGGTGACTGACCCAGACTACCAATGGGAAACTGAACTATTACTCTACAATGGAAGAAAGGAAGAACATACTTGGAGTGCAGGAGATCTGTTAGGGAGCCTCATAGTATTACCATGCCCCATGAATAATGTGTCAGTCAGAACTATAGCAACCCTATAGTCTAGGCAGGATGACAAATGGCCCAGAACCTCCAGGAATGAAGGTACAGGTCACCCCACCAGGGAAAAAACGAAGACCTACTATTCCACTCGGCCTTGCAGAAGGCCAAGGGAATACAGAATGGGTAGTGAGCAGAGTAACTATAAATACCAGCTACAACCCCGCGATCAGTTACAGAAACAAGGGTTGTAATTATAACAGTTCTAATATGCTTCCTCTATAACACCGGCAGAGTTAATATGGGTTAGGCATTATTAAACCTATGTTATAATGTTTAAGTTATAAAATGCTAGGAGTAAGCACTACCCAAAGAAAACTTGCCTCCTATTCTGGGGAAGGAACTGGTACATTTCCATTTGTACACAAGACAGACGTGCCATGTTAGTGTAATTAAGAACTAGTCCTTGTATCTGGAGAGTGAGTACGGTTTAAAGAAACATCTCTGGTTTGTCAGTCTGACAAGGTAGGGATTATGACAGCTAACTGTTATGCCAACATGAGTAAGAAACTCCCATCTGATGGATGAGCATAGTTCCGGGTGTGGCTGAATGGATTTACTCAAGACAGAAGACCCACCAATAGGCTTGTGTGAGTGGCACCCACCAACAGGCTTGTGGCCTGAATGGAATAAAAAAGGGAAAAGAAAGAAGCTTCTGTTTCTTTGGAGGAGCTCAGTCTTCACCTTTGCCTTGGACAGCTTCCAGCACAGATTCTTCAGCCCTCCAGTGTGGACCTTCAGCTTCAGCTTCCTGATACCAACCTGCAAGGACGCCACAGTGCACTCTGGGCTTTGACTTCTGATTGGATCCTTCAGCGCTCCAGCGCACAGACAGCCCTTCTGCACTCTTCCACACCAGACTCTGCAGGTGGCCACTGTAAGACTAGCTTGTAAATCTGTGTGTGTGTGTGTGTGTGTGTTATATTAAATCTATCTCTGTAGTGAACACAGACATAAACATCATGTTTAAAGTAAAATGTAACAAACTACTTACCACGCCATCACAGTAAAGCCGAGTCACACGGACATAGTTTGCTGTCATTAATTCAGGAGGAAAGGCACACTCATCCTCGTCAGGGCAATCCTCTAACATGGCACAATCTGCCACAGACGGATTTCCCTCAGTAAAATTGTCCATGGTCCACAATCCTAAGGAAATAGCACATACTCAAATCAGTAATTAATTCCCCAAAGAAGCAGTAAGCAGCAGTCTTCCTGGCTTCTATGTTACACTAGAAAAACCTGGAACCCTCCAAGGAAGGAACTCTGGTCAGAACCCTGAGCTCTGCAAGATTCTTGTCCCCAACCTGCTGTACTTTTTCCTCCCTCTGCCTTCATTTCCTTAGGTTCATACACTCACCATTCTCTACTTTGAATATATCTGCGTACAGGCTTTAGGTGGAAGATAACTATGAGCATCTTATTCTGCAAGTGCCTAGCATACAGTACACCCTAAGTGTTGCTGAATATAAAGACATTTTCCCACTAATGTACTGATTTACCTACCTACTTTTACTGTGTCCCATGAAGTATGTGGTTTCATTTGTTCATAAACTCCAACATTCTCAACCTCCTGGCCTGAACTAAATCTTGACACCACTGAGAAAGGGCTCCGAAGTTCCTATGTGGCCTAAGCAACTCTCAGTGAGCCTCTACCCTGGGAGAGGGGGCAGGACCGGAGTGGTCCAGGCCAAGTCCGCCGGTCTCTCCATGCCCCACAGCCACCTCCAGACCTGCCGTTCTCCTAACCACTGCTGCCTCTGGTACTCTCCCAACTGCCACAAAACACCACTGCTAAACTGCAAGGGGGAAAATTCTCATGCTATGTTTTTAAAATACTTGAAAAGGGAAACTAGGGCTAGAGCTTCAGATTCAGATTTTTTCCCCTGAAGAAAGTTCAAGAATGAAAAATTTTATAGCTATCAGAGAGGAACACTAAATAGCAGTGAAAAGTGGAGCATTTGATCACTTCTGGCTCCTGCCCAAGTACCAGCTTTCTTTCCTATCATCATCACCATCATTACATTTCTCACAGTCAGAACAAACCAAGTTTACTTTTTAGAAGCAAGACCACCATCAGACCATGAAATAGAAATCTGTTTCTTTAATCAATTCTTATATCAAATTTAAAGTATGAAAACCTCACGATGTCAGAAGTAACAGGTAATAAGCATCCTAATGAACTATCACATGCTGCGCCAAGTGTGCCCCAAGTATCACGCATGAGCCCTCAGCAATTCTTGTCAGACCCACTTACCACCCTTTCCACTCCACAGATGGGTAGACAGTCTCTGCAACAGGCAAACCCAGTCCTCTGACTCCACAGTCTCTTCTCTTAAACACTGCACTTTACTGCATCTACTCTTCCTTGCCACTGTCACCTACTGTTCTGTTTAAGAACACTGGCACAAAGTTCCTTTTTCCTCTCCAAATCCCACGGACATCCCAGCCACATCAAGGCCTACCCAATCAATCAGCTTTGCAGTTTTCCTCCTCCACTAACACGAACATCAGCGCCGCCCTCCTAGGTCCCCTTCATCAGTGTCAGGCCTGGGCCACTGTACAGGACTAAACCAGTTCCAATTCCTTCACTCTGATGACGTCTTCTCTGCCCACAACCAGTTACTACAGCTCACACCATCCCTGTCTCCTTCCACGGCTATTTTTTAAACTCGTCAAGAACTCTTTTTTCCTTTTCTCCTCATTGGAATTCTCCTTTCAGTTTCCTATAATTTGGTATCCTTTTCTTCTCTTCAAGGGAAACTACTTTCAATAAGGTCATTAACGACTGTCTATAATAGATTATCTATAATGTCTGAAACTTGACCTGTTCTGCATGAATGATATTTCCAGAGTTTGAAGAATTTAATTCCAAAAGTGAATGACCCACAGGGCGTGGTGGTGCACGCCTGTAATCCAAGCAATGGGGAGGCTGAAGCAGGAGGACTGCCATAATTTCAAAGCCAGTCTGGACTTAGTGAGTTCAAGGCCTGCCTGGAGTTCATAGCAAGACTTCATCTCAAAAAGTAAACTGTCAGAAAAACTAAGACAATATAGCACCCAAGATAAGGCACATAATATGTTATAGTGAAAAATATATACTCTTAAATTTTTTTCTTACAAACTTTTTTTGTATGTAAATCCAGAAAGAGCCAAGAACTGTCACAGCCCATATACCACGCATACACATCATGGTGTTGATTTCAGTACAGCTGGCAGACCACTGGTCAATCTTGCAGATCTCATGATACCACATGTAGCAGCAAACTGTACTGTAATTACAACACTGGTGTGGTTTTTTTTGTTGTTGTTGTTTTGAGATAGAATCTTGCTATGTAGTACAGCTGGCCTTGAACTTGCTTATGTAGCCCAGGCTGGCCTCGAACTCATGGCGCTCCTCCTGCCTCAGCCTCTCATGCATCACCACACTCAGCAGACACTGGTGTAATTTTAAACCTTTTTCTGTTTCAACTAGACAGGCAATGAGGTAAAATGGTTAAGAGCATGGAATGGCCTGGGCTTGAATCCTGACTCTTCTGTTTCCTGGTTGTGTGATCTTGGGTGAGTTATTTAAAGTTTCTGTGCTTCAGTTTTCTCATATTTCAGGTGGAGATAACAATACCAGCTACCTCATTTATCAGTTCGTACATGTAATATGCTTGGAAGCCCATAGGGCATAAATGATATAAATACCAGCTGTCATTAAGATTAATATTTGATGAACAGGATTTTAAAACCTACTGTTTAAGGTGCTTCAGGCTAAATGCTCTACCTTAATGATAAATCCAAAACATACTTTTCAGCTTATAACTTACTTGGTGCTAAGGACCACTTTCTCCACCTCAGCACTCTTCATAAGGACTCCAGGCCTTCTTCCGAGTGTCCTCCTACTCGTCTGCTGCTCTTCCCCGGCTGCTTCATGGGCTCCTCTCCTCTCCCCGCCACCCCACGTCAGCTCCCTATTCTTTTCTCAGTCTCCTCTTGAGTGACCGAACTCCCACGAGTTCAGACAGCACTTTCAGAATTTTCATTATTTGCGTAGTTTTGCCATGATTTTTGCCATTTCCATAAATCACATATTTTTCATTTAATAATTCCCTTTCATTGTACTCACTTGAGCTACGTGATAACATCCATGCTATAAATCTGATGTACAAGTTGTTTTTCATATATACCTTCGAGGAAATTCCTATTAAAAATTTTCAAGAGCTTGTGTATGTACTAAAGACAATCCCATATGATACTGTAGAAGACGATGGCTTCCAAACTTCCAAACCTGAAACCCCCAAATCTCTCCCGGCCGGGTTCCATCTCTTGACTTCTAGGCCCTCTCTTTCAATTGCTACTGGTTAACCAAAATGTCCCACAATCCCCTCAGGTTCTGTTAATTGAAAAGCAAACGTTCTTTTCCTCAAAAAAAAAAAAAAAAAAAAAAAAAGTGAAACCAAGTTCTTTCCTCTTTCTGTATGCTATTTATCAATTAATAGCTCTACATGCCACATGGTTACCCAAAAGAAAAATCTGAGGCTCAATCTAGACTCCCCAGTCTCCTTTAACATTTCTGTTCAACTGACCACTATGTAATGTCATCTCTCCTCCCTTTAGAAATCTAAATTTAGCACACATAAAACTTCTTGCCCAGTGCCACTCCCTGCCTTAGTTGCACCTTCATCTTTTCTCCTGAACTAAAGGTACAACCAATCTCCTAACTCCTGGCTTGCTTTCAATTCTTGCATTCTTTAAAATTCTGGTATCATTTTGCTGCTTAAAACTGTTCCATATCTTCCCTTCATTATCAGAAAAAAGTCCAACATCCCCACTATGAGCATGAACAGTCTTGTGTGATCCTATTCATTCTTCTAGCTCCAGTCATACCCAACTGCCTGTCATTTCTACACAAGCCTTATTCTGTAATCCTCTAATGCCTATCAATACTTGGTTGCTACTTAATTCCAGGAATCATCTCCTGATCTTCCCACAATACCAAGTTTACTTTTGTACCTCTTTTGTGAAAGTCTAGAGCACCATGCCCCCATCTGATTAAGGTTTTCACACAGTTTGATAATCACAGGTTTATCTCTATAAGGTTGCTAGACACCCAGAAGACACAATGTGTAACCTACTTACCCTCAGTACTTATTTAACTTAAAATTTTCCTTTAGAAAATCCAACAGTTTTTTAAAAAAGAAAATCCAACAGTTAATGAAATATAAATGTTTTAATAGAAAATTTGCTATCACCAACAAATCTTACATTTGATGTGACAGATTTTTTTCTAATACAAACTGAAATACATTACTAAAGTTAAATATTAAAATAAAGGACTTGTAAAAAAATAAAAATATAATAAAAACCTCTGATCCCTGCAGATAACTAGACGTTAAAAGAATCTTCCAATGTTTAAAAAAAAAAGCTTAAGTTTAAAAACATATTTCTGCCATTCTGCTGAGCTCACGGGAATAGGAGGCACTTAACACTACCCCTTCTATACAACAAATCTTGTGCTAGGTACTAAACCTGTAGTCATGAGCTACAAGCAGCAGTGCCAAGAGAGAAAGTGGGATCAGGACAGGGAACGCTGGACCAGAAGCAAAATGTAGGAATTATAAAGGGGGGCCCAGTTAAACTTCCTGGTTCCTGCTCCTAGCCAAAGATGGTACAAGTGCATACAAAAGGAAAGCACCCCCTCTCCAGAGTCCCACAAAGATAGAGAAGTTCATGACCTGTGATGGCCACACATAGGAGGTAACAAGCGCTGCCTCCATGAAGGAAAGACAACAGGGGCAGGGGGGTAAAAAGCACTGAATATAGGTCCGCTAAGGATATTAGACATCCCCTAACGATTGAGATTGCCTGATACAGTCCACAGATTAGCTATAGGTTCACAAAAATGAGTAAGCCACATGAAACTACAAACAATGACTGGGTATATCTGAAAAAGAACCAAGTGAACCTCTAGAAATTAAAAATGTAATTGTTACAAGTTTTTTTAAGAATAGGTTAAAGGGAAGATTAGGTCCAGATGAAGAGAAACGTGATAAACTAGAAGATAAGCCTGATGAAATTATCCTGCACTATACATTCTGCTAAGGAGAGGAAAACTATGGCTGAGGAAGGTTAACTGATCTGGAAAAAGGTGAATACACATA